CATTAAACAAACAATGAAGAATATTGATCGGGCACAGTGGCTCACACCTGTAATCCCAGCACCTTGGGAGTTCGAAGCAGGTGGATCACTTTGAGCTCAGGAGTTCAAGACTAGTCTTGGGCAATGCAGCAAGACCCTGTCTCTATTCTAAAAAATTAAAACATTAAAATTTTATTTTTTAAAAAAGTGAAGAATAGTAATCAGGTAACTTATTATTAAAATGTCATTGTATTTTCAGAAGTCTCGATATTTAAATGCTACTAAGTAAAATTATGGCATATAAAATTATATAAATTTGCCAAAAGTTACAGTTGTAGACGTATTCATGTAAAGCATCTAGAAAATTGATAATCTCAAATTATATGAGAAAGAAATGAAAGAGGGGTAAACTTCCAAGTAAATTAATTAAATAATAATGCAGTATCCTCAGGATTTTAAGATAGAGGGAAGGTTCTCTCCCACCTACCAGAGAGTCCCAGAGAATAGGGAAGACACCTGCCTTTTGCATCCTGGAAAGTATGTTACAAAACTAAAGCTCCTGTGTCTTCCATACCTAAGAAGTAGCTCCTTTTATGTTATATCTGCATGCAAACTTTATTCTAGAGTGTTTCTTAAAAAGGTAAGTGTACTCCAAACTTTCTCTCCTCTTTTTTAATGAGAATCCATGCACATAATGTTACTATTTTTGATTAAACAGATCTTACTCTTCAAGGGTTTGGGCAGAAAAATAAGCAAATTACTGCTATAGAGACTCAGGTACAATGAAACATTGGTTCCTATGGTCTGTTTGGATCACATGGAAAAGTCCAAATCTGATTGTAAAAACTACAGAATTCCAGATTACTTGAAAAAATGTTATTTTATTTGTACAGTTAAAAAGCTGTATATAGAAACTTATAATACAGTTCTGTAAAATTGAAAGACTGTCAGGGAAAAGGGAGGGTGTTACTTTTTTTGATTGTTCATTAAGGAAGTTAGAGAAATAAAAAAACACAGTAAAAAGTTTAAAACATTAAAGAACATTTTTCAGGTATGAATTTTATAAATACAAAAAAAATTCACAAATTACTTTCAATACTAAATAAATATCTAGTTAATAAACTCAGACTTAATACCTCCAGCTAGCACTGGTACAGCACTTCAAGGATATAAGATTGGATTCATTCATGTGTAGTGTTGAAAGAATGTCTTCATTAAACAAGACATAAACACATTTTTCTAAACTGTCCTATAGTAGAAGAATCATCCATGTAGATAACTCTCCCTTAATACCACAACTTTAAAAAAAATCATCAATAACAAAAAAAATCATAGGTGAAAAAATATTTTCCAAGACCTCTGGACACATGAATGATCTCAAAAATGTACAAAAACCTCTGTAAACCAGTACTGTATCCAATATATCTATTAAACTTATTAGATACTGAACAAAACTGTAGCAAAGGACATCATCTTTCCTACATTCTCCTGAGTGCTTAATATTAAAATTGAGAATATAGTGCAGGCCACACTTTCATGTGGTCAATCAGTTGTTATTGCTTTATAACATATATGTCTGCTTTAGAGAATGATTTAATGTTCCATTTTCATGAACAATTTGTTTTTCCTCATATACATCCTTTCAAAGGACAAAGTTAGATTCGTGACTTTTTCGTAGCCGGTGGTGTGCTAACTTGGTCCACATTACTGGGTGTGACATGGAGTCCAAGCTTTTGAGCTTGAATATGAAAAAATGCTTGAAGCCTAGTTCCAGCTTTTGCTTCACTTGTGTTACGAGGGTTGTATTCAAAGCAGTTCGAAAACATTAACTCAATATCATCAATAAACTCAGCTAGAAAGGGAAAAAGAGCAAACAAGATTAGAATGAAAGTATATAAATTATAATAAAATTCTTGTATCCTATCTGGAAATCTCATTAAGAAAAATGGATCCAGGGAATAGTAGCAGTTGAGGTTCCAAAAAAGAAAAAGAAAAACGGAAGCCCACATTTTCTTTAGAAAGAGAAGACTCTGCCTAGGCATGGTGGCTCACATCTGTAATCCCAGCACTTGGGAGGCTGAGGCAAGAAGATCACTTGAGCTCAGGAGTTTGGGACCATCCTGGGCAACACAGTGAAACCCCATGTCTACAAAAAATACAAAAATTAACCAGGCACGGTGGTTCATGCCTGTAATTCCAGGACTTTGGGAGGCCAAGGTGGGAGGATCATTTGAGGTCAGGAGTTCAAGACCTGCCTTGGCAACATGGTGAAACCGTGTCTTCACAAAAAAATATAAAAAATTAGCCAGGCATGCCAGGTGCAGTGCCTCATGCCTATAATCCCAGCACTTTGGGAGGCTGAGGCAGGCAGATCACCTGAGGTCAGGAGTTTGACACCAGCCTGGCCAACATGGTGAAACCCCGTCTCTACTAAAAATACAAAAAAAGCCCAGCGTGGTGACAGGCGTCTGTTGTCCCAGCTATTGGGGAAGCTGAGGCAGAAGAATCACTTGAACCTGGGAGGCGGAGGTTGCAGTGAGCTGAGATCATGCCACTGCGCTTCAGCCTGGCAACAGAGTAGACTCCGTCTCACAAAACAAAAAACGGCACAGTGTCCTCCACCGTGGTGGTCCTAGCTACTTGGGAGGCTGAGGTGGGAGTACAGCTTGAGCCTGTGAGGTCAAGCCTGCAGTGAACCGAAATTTCGCCACTGCACTTCCAGCCTGGGCAACAGAATGAGACCCTGTCTCAAAAAAAAAAAAGAAAAGAAAAAGAAAAAAGATTCTGAAAAAAGGTAGCAGAACTGAGGCTTAAAACTGTTTAATTGTAAATACTTTAAAACTGTTTTATTGAAACTATGCAATTCTGTGATCATATACATTATGTAATTATAAATAACTTCTTTGAGTAAGATCAGATCTATAAAATATCTTTAACTTACATCTTGATCCTAATCCATCGTTCATCTCCACAAACACTATTAAGTACTTGTGGAACCTCATGGCATGCCATCTACACAACTGCATTAACACATGCTTTCAAAAAGAGAAAAACAGCCTCTACCTTTTTAAACAAAAATAAATATCAAAGGTGATATAACAGAATGTCTTAGAAAAATAAGTATCAAAGAGAAACATAAATTACTTACATGCTAATTTATATTCACATTTATTCACTTTTTCACGAATTATATTTAAGGCAATGGGCTTTTTGATGATATCATAGTAGTCTGGGACCTGTAAAATAATTCAAGTATCTCTCTCCACACAGAAAACTTAATTGGAAAGAACTGTTCAAGTAACTAAAAGTTTTGGATTTAAAAAGCAACTCAATATTAACCTCTGAATACTAGTGGTCTGCTAAAATCATGCAATATGTTTTCAGTAAATATCATATAGAAGCCTAAGTGATACATTAAAAATGTTAATTTATTGTGAAAAGAAAAAAAAGTATGGTCTTGCTCATGGCTCTCTCCTCTATGTACCTATATATACACACACACCCCATTGTCACTTGTGACCAAAAGAAAAAAAAATTCCTTCAATCAGCATTATTGCATTTGTAATAAGGAATAAAATGTATATAACAAAGTGTAACTTAGGACAAAAATTACCCAGGCAAAATAAGTCAAACTGAGATTTAATTCTTTTCAACGCTATTCAATATTAATTAACCCTTCTCATTCTTGCTCTAGAAATCTCCAAGTAGAATTCTGATGATGTCACTTTGTCATTCAGAAACCTTTCCCTCACACTGGTGAGTGAGACCCTTTATCATACAGTTGTGTCTGAGACTTTCTAACTTAACCTCATTCAAACCATTCACCATTCACCATAGTCTAATTTCTGGGTGTCTACTTTATATTATATTCCTTTTTCCCTGAAACATCCTTACTCCATTTCTCACTGGTGAAATTCTTTCTTCAATGACCAGTTCCAAACAGTTGGAACTCCTTAAAAAACATCCTAATTATTATTTTTGTCTCTCTGAAATGCTCAAATCAATCTCTGTCTTCTCTACTTCTGTAACGCCATGTTAACTTCTATTACAGTGCCATAACACTGTTCTACCTTTGCTATATAACACATCACATTCTGCCATACATATATAACCTAACTACAACACCATTTCATATCTTTCAGTTAGGTTAGGGCATCACTGTTACCTAAGAATATCTTTTTTTTTTCCCTTTGGAGACAGGGTCTTGCTCTGTCATCCAGGCTGGAGTGCAGTGGTGTTACTCAGCTCATTGCAGCCTCCCTCCACCTCCCAAGCTCAAGTGATCCTCCTTCCTCAGAGTCCCGAATAGCTGAGACTAAAGGCATGCAACCACCACACTTGGCTCATTTTTTTTGTTTTTGTATTTTTTGTAGAGTCAAGGTTTTACCATGTTGCTTAGGCTTGTCTCAAACTCCTGGGCTCAAGCAATCCATCTGCCTCAGCCTCCCAAAACTGTTGGGATTACAGGTATGACACACTGCAACCAGCCAGAATACCTCTTTTTTTTTTTTTTTTTTTTT